GCCGTTACAACTTATGTCTAAAAATGTATCGTTTCATGCATCGGTTAAAACACTCTACTCCATGTACACGACGCCCAGCCGGAAAAACTTCACGCAAGTCGAGCTGCCCGAGAGTCACAGAATTTACAGAAAATGTTCAATTTTTGTGACTTATATCGTTATTGGGACGATAAATGTCTTATATCGAGATATGAAATTTTGGTCATATCGCACAGCCCTAGTCAAATTTGTACTACTTCTCAGACTTTCATATTCTTTGTGTATTGCCTAATATTTGAAATATCACTATCAATCTTGTATAAACTTGCTGCATTAATCAAATCCTGCTTGGGACACAGTATAGTTTAGTAAAGAAGCTTAGTCTAACCAGAGGGTGGCACCACAGGAAAAGTCATATAATCTAAATCAGCTGAATCATTCTATTAGAAATGAAAAGGTGTGGTGAGTGGGTTTGTGTGTGTAATCAATTTTCTGCTGCTTTACCTCAGTGACCTGACTGGAATTTTTCACTTGCATTTCAGCCGGTTGGAAACCATATTCGAGGAGGTGCCTCTCAATCGCAGGAATGGCTCTGAGTCCTGGTTTGGTCAGAGGCGTGTGAAACGATTTTTAGAGTTCCTGGAGGTCGGCGAGGTCAGAAAACCAAAGAAGCCACTTGTCGGAGTGAGTAAAGCAGGTATTTCCACTTCCAGGACCCGACGAGGGGGCTTCCTTAAAGACGAACCGTCCCTCAGCGTGCAGGATGTGGACTCGCTGCTCTGTGCGAAGCTGGATCAGCTCAATTTGTGGCTGATTCATGATCAGAAAGACAGCTGACCGATGCCTCTCAGGTGACTGTTTTGGCAGCCATTAAAAACCAGATAATACTGTCTATATAAATATTTCAACATGAAGATTGAGTGTGCCAGCAACTCTTTTTGTCAACACGGTCTGTATAAATGTTTTGGTGGCAAGTTCTAAATGAAGAATGTTTATTCTGTAGCGTTTGTAGCCTGAAAGTTGAAGAACAGTACATGATAGCGCCGTTAAAAGTATTGCCTCATAAACGTGGTTAAGAATGTGTAGAGTAAGTCGTTTTTCAATCATTGCCGTCGCTGTCCCTTCCTTTTAGTTACGATCCGTCCATGATGGATGAAAACTGTTAGCATCAGCAAAAAAATCAGCAATATGAAAAGCCAAACTCCCTGTCAGGGTGACTCAGTGCCATTCACTTACAGTAACTGTGTGTTTGACAAGTGATAATGCACGTTGTGTCTGATTTCTTCAAGTGCATTTGGGCCATTTGAGGTGCAACTTTAAAAAAACAAACAAAAAACCTGAGATTTAAATTTTTATGTTTAGGGGGAAAGGAGATTAAAGTGTCACAGTTTTAAGAAAATTGAAAGCCTGAAATCATAACCTCAAAGGAAGAATGGGCTACGTTTTTACACCAGAGATGTAAAGAGCGAATCTTAGGTGCAAATGTCAGTGAGGAGGTGCAGCATAACTGCGATCAATTTGTGTTTTGTTTTGTTTCTGTCTGTCTGGGTGATGGATGATAATATGGTTCTCGACTTAAATCGCCAGCATTTATATAGTTCTTAATTATTCGTGTCAGTCTGTGGGGTCTGTGATATGATGAAATTGATCCAGCCTTAAAATTTCTTGTAAATTTATGAATTTAATCTTTGGTGTTCTTGTGGATTACGACTTCCTCGCTAGCCTATTCACCGAGAATGGCCCTAATACACAGAATCCTAATCAGCTGTCTGTTTTTGGAAGAAAGCAGTCAATCACCTTAGATGTTGTGACCTTACCACATCATTGTAAGTGGTTATATAGGCAGCTATTATTATTATTATTATTATTATTATTATTTTTTTTTTTTTAATTAACTAAATGCCGAATACAATATACTCTTCAAGGTGCCAGGTGGAGATTCATAGTCACTGGACTCGGTTTCACAACCACATTTAGTACAATCAGTTGTCTACATGTAGTTTGGACTGCATACGTCATTGTACTCAGCTCAGGGCAGAGCCTCAGTGAAATGTTTTGTGTTTGTGATTTCATAACTGTGGAGGTTTCTTTTGTATTAAATGTGCCATAAAGACAATATGACTCTCCAGTAAGCATTTCTAATGATTACTGGAAGTGTCCACTGCTGTTTTTCCGTGGTGTTTATATTTCCATTGCAAGTATTAACTTGTCATTAAACAGCCTATATGTGTTTATTATATATTTGCCAAATGTTAATGGGGTTGCCTTAACTGTAAAGATGTGTTCAAGTAGGTGTTTTGTCTGCACATTTGTAATCATTGGTGGGTTTTTTTTTTTTGTTTTTTTTGTTTGTTTGTTTGTTTGTTTGTTTTTTTTATCTGTGTGTGTTAAATGTTTCCAGCAACTCAGAGCACAACTCATTTTATTATAAAATTGTTTAATGTTTGTATAAAAGTGCAGCATATATACATTTGACATTAATAAAGTGAATACAGTAACAATGCAATAATGCCAATGTGGTACACCAAGAGCAGGACCTCATAATGTCCTGATGAAACACTGCCACGATCACTGCCACGCATTTTATATCTGGTAGAGACTCAATCCTGAAGTTATTCTTTGCTATAATTGAGTGGCTTGTTGATTGATTCATTAACTTTCTTAATATCTGTAGTTATCTACAGTAAGGAAGTTAAAGTGTAATGGAGAGTATTAAAGTTTGGGTAATTACTGGAGCGTAACAGGTGTAATCTTTGATTTACAATGTATATGTGTAATATTGTGTCATGTTCTGTAACTATAGGCAATGCTGGATTTTTACATTTGCAGTTGGAATTGTCCACATGTCCATATAATGTCAAATAAATATTACAGCATATAACAAACAGTTTTAATACGTTTAATACGATTTTCAGCTTTGTTTGTTCTTGTAAAGGCTGATTAGAGCGCATTCAGCACAAGCTAAACAAATTCAGTATTTTTAAGGCTATTGTAACTTTTAGTTACTCCATAGCTTCAGTGATCTAGTTGATCAGAATCTTTAAAGACACTCCCCTGGATGTGCTCCACTGAGGTTTGTCAATCAAAGCCCAGGTTTGATAGGACCAGCACCAGTAATACCAGTGTCAAAGACGCTGACACCAGGATGGAAACCCATGTCACGATGGAGATGATGCTCCATTTTTTGGCCTGTCTTAAATACTTTGCAGCTCTCCTTTCTCTTGTCCGCTTGGCTTTCTCAGCTTTGTCAGCATTCTCAGCCTGGTGAAGTAAAGATGTGACAATACTTTTGATTTAAAGATCATGCCTAACAAACATGATGAATGACTAGTATATAGTTGTAAAGAGATGTAGCAGATAAGGTGTTTGTCAAATATAAACATGCTTATCCTCATAAGAAAGTTTTCAAATGCAGGTTTGCTGCAGGTTGCCTGCCTGCAGAGAAAATAACTTACCTTTACAGAATAAATCAAGGCTCGGACTCCGAAGCAGGAGAACCCGCAGATGATACTAGAGATGGCCAGCTTCCTGTGGTACTTGTCACTGCAGCAGGACGCAGCAGAGTCCTCACCGACACAGATTACTTGATTGCCAGTGTCCTCAGGTTGTTGAACACCTGTTCCTGGTACAGAGTTCAGCGGGAGCGCTTCCTCTATCGGTGCATCTAACTGATATGACTCTGACATCACTGCAAAATATGCCGTCAAGTTAGAGAAAGTTTAAACTCAAAGACAAGACGTGGTAAGCTGTGCGAGACAACTTTAAGCAATGTAAGGATTCTGTGTGCACAACAGCACTGGAAGGATAAGTTAATGGTTTCAGTGGCTGCTTGATAAGAATGTTTGTTTAAAGGATAAAAAGGAGTTTTAAGGAACTGGTTTCATTCTATCTGCTGGTTTCACCCTGCTTAGTTAAATGTTTATTTTGTTATTGCTCTGGCTTTTTGACTTGTACATCACACTGCATTAATAGTCAGACAGAACAGTCCAAATAATCATCAAAGGGTTTTATGTATTAATTCTTTTAGCTATATTGTCCTTAATTTTTCAAATCAGTCTTTCTTTTGTGAAACTGGAGCGCTCGGGGTGAACTGTTGTTGCTGACCATGTGGCTTGTGTTACAATGAGTTGGCTTGGGGCAGCTTTAATAATTAATTTCCTACAAGACTGTACAAAATCCCACTTAAGAATTTTATATGAAATGCCTTCTGCATGTCTAAACATAACTCTCCGTGACCACCTCTTCCCTGGGAATACCGAGGCATTCCCAAGCCAGATGAGAAATATAATCTCTCCAGTGTATCCTGGAGCTGCCTCCACCCACTGGGACATATCCCAAACATCTCAGCTAGTAGACAGTCCCTCCTGAATGACTGAGCTTCTCACTTCATCACTACAGGAGAGCTCAGATAAAATTCAAAAAGGAAGAAGGCTCATTTTGGGCACTACCCACTGGTGTGTCCAAAGCTGAATAATAACCTGTAAAAATAACACAAGTCAATTCATGGGGGTAGATTTCATGTAGCCCGTGCACATCTCTAACTACTTTGGTGAACTCAGCCACAGTAGTGAACGAGCCATCCCTCTTGTTCCCAGACTCTCTTTCCTCTAAGCAAAATTGGGATATAGGACATTAAAAGTACTCCTTCTACTTTCTCACCATATGCTCAGTTGAGGTTCGCCCAAGTCTCTCCTTAAGCTATTGATAGAGCTGCACTGGCTTGGCGTGCTGGCACTCATTATCTGCCTCCTGAGTCCCACAAACCAATCAGATTCGACCCTTCTTCAGCTTGACAGCTCTCTTCACCTCCATCTGATTTGGGGTTTCCCCCCAAAAGGCCACAACCACCTTATGGCCACAGCTCCATCAGCAAAGAAGGAGCAGAACAGTATCTATTTAGACTTAATGCCTCCAGCCTCCTTTGAAATTTCTGCTGGAGGTTTGAATTGAGGACTTTGTGGAACCAGGTGCTCCCAGCACCTCCCAGCACCCTCTTGCTATATGTTCGTGTACACCAGGTTAGTCCAGCATCCTTTCCCACCATCAGATCAGCACCGCTCCTCTCTTCACCCTAGTCTAAACATGTTCTGCAAAATATGCAAAATTTGTAGTGTATTTTCTTAAGTGCGTGTGAGAATTTTTTGGGGGAGTGGGTATTTTCACAGGAAATAAAAAGTATCCCGTGAAAAGTGTAACATGAAGAGGATGATAGGTATCGATGTTCCCTGTTACCTAAAAACAAAACAAAAGAAAAACACTCCCTCCTCTCTAAAACAAACCAAAAACTTGAAAAACTTGATTGGCTGGTGCAATCAAGAAAAAGTATCAGCTGAGTGTTGGACTGTAATATTACACAGTTCTGTGAATAAACAGCAACTAAATTATGGCCTGTATCTTCAAATGTAGTGAAATATTACAGTAAACATGAGTTGATTGAGAAGGTTTTAAATAAAGTACAAACCTGATTTCTTTGGTGTGCTGTCACTCCTTCAGTGAAGCAAAGGTTGTCTGGTTTCTTTTTAGGGTGATATCGAAGTCTTGATGAGATGATAAGCAGGTATGTTCTCTCCTCCTTCTGTAACCTGACGTGTCTTCCTTTAAAACGTGTCAGTTGAAGTTTAAAAATGTCCACAAATGGTCATTCAAACACCGTTCACCTGGTTGTAGGATGACGACATAAACCTGTGCTTCTACCATGTACGTTTCTGAATGACAGGACTGTGCATGAGGAATGAAGCCGCGCCTGATAAAGACTGTAACTGGTTGAATCTGAAGGTGGCACCAGAGGAAAGGTCGTGTTATCTGAATCAGCTCTATCTAAATTGCTTTATAATAAGTAGGAAAATAAGTGTGTCATTCATAATACAGTCTGTACTATATTACCTTACCCCTGACTGTAACCTGTCACTTGTGT